TAATTGTTGTAAGCCGCCCAGAGACCTTTGGGTAGAGTGGGTGGCATATAAGTTAAATAAATAAATAAATAAATAAATAAATAAATAAATAAATAAATAAATAAATAAATAAATAAATATGGTAAAATGAAAAGGAAAAAAACCCAGAAAAAATATTTTCATGTGCATTACCAGAACTGACGAGTAGAGGGCACCAGAGATCATGCTATGTATTCTTCACTAACAAGTATTCGTACCACTGTCTCTGGCCTCTAGTGGTCACTTCTCGCAATACACATGAAAATAGTTTTTTCCTGGATTTTTTTCTTTTAATATTTTTAATATCACCAGGCAGTAGGTAAGTGAATCAGTGGATACTGATCCTGTGGATAAGGAGATCCTACTGTACCAACAGTGCTCAGGTTTTTCTCATTGCTGTGGCACTAGAAATCTCTCTGTTTCTGTAGTAGTCCTGGAGGGATTCCTAGTCAGGGTGAAATGTTCAAACTAGCCAGATTGAAAAAAACTGCTGAGTATTCAATTAATCTCTAATTTAGTAAGCTTCCCTGAGAAAATGTTCCAAAGAATTTATTTGAAAAATTTCAAATAAACAACAAATTTACTGAACAACAGTTAAAAAATAATAATAGAATATACTGGAACAAAACAGTATAAAGGATGTAATTTAGCTTAAATAATACTTTATTTCTTTTAAATGTGGTCATAAAATCCTGTTTAGAGTAATGTAATGTTTTCAATGTACTGTATGAATATCCTTTAAAATGTCTGGAAATAATAACTAGTTCAAATACTGTATAATTGTTGTCTTAACGTGGTACATATAGACCATATATTACTGATCCTCAACCAACTCGACTGACTCCCAGTTTACTTCCAAACCTGATTTGAGGTGGTGTATTTATGTAAAAAGCCCAAAATTGGTTGGAGCCAAGATATCTGGAAAATGAACTCTTCCCATATAATCCTGCTCATAATTTGTAATAATTATCCTCCAGAAACTCTATTGTGTAATCTACCACCAAGAGAACCTAGGCTGATGGGTACATGAGGTAAGGTCTTTAATTTAACTGCATCTTGACTATGAAAGGCCTTCCCAAGGAAACTGCAGATGGTTTCATCCAAGAAAGAAATCACAAGAAACCAAGAAAACAACACCAAACTGAAGAGGAAAAACAGCCACCCACAAATAAAGTATTTCTGCCATACATAAAAGGGGTTATGGACCGCATGGGGAAACTTTTGAAAAAACACAACCTACAAACAGTATTCAAGCCCACCACAAAAATACAACAAATGTTACAGTCAGCAAAGGACAAAAGAGACCCCCTCACCACTGCAGGAGTATACCAGATACCTTGCAGTTGTGGCCATGTATATATTGGAACCACAAAATGCAGCATTCACACCAGATTCAAAGAACATGAGAGACACTGCAGAATAAAACAACCAGAAAAATCGGCAGTAGCTGAACATGTCCTAAAACAAGCTGGACATGAAACTCTATTTCGAAACACTGAAGTACTGGACAACACCAGCAATCATTATGTTAGACTGCACAGGGAAGCCATTGAAATCCACAAACACCAGCAGAGCTTCAACAAAAAAGAAGAAAGTTTAAAACCTAACAAAGCCCGGCTCCCAGCACTGAAAAATACAGCCTGCAAAAGGTCAAGAAACTCTACCTAGCCACAAGGACCAGTGATCACTGTACACAAAAGACCAGCTAACGACAACCATCAATCACAGTGACAGATAATCTCTCCCCCTTATCACAACATTACACTCACAACAACAACAAAAAAAACACTGATCACCATAATCACCCAATCTCCTGAAAAGGACAAAAGCTGATCCCACAGCTATAAATACTCAACTATCCAAACAAACTGCACCGGAGCACAGACAGAGTTCTGACTCCTGTCCTCTGAAGATGCTGGCCACAGA